TTTTTTTTTTTTTTTTTTTGCATAGCACAGTCTCTAAATGGTTGAGATTGCCAACTAATAGTCGGTGACACGAATAGATTCCTACATTTCCAGGAAAAAATTAGCATATGCTACCTCACAGAAAGTATACTGATGATACTCAGTTACAGAGTTCATTTCTTAAAAGAAATTAATGAAGAATACTAATAAAAGTGACATGTGAACACTGCTGGTGCAACATCCTCAGTGATTTACTCTTTCCATCTAATATCTTAATATTAGGAGTAAAGAAGAATTCATTTAATGAGTTTTTCATCTCTAAATATAAAAGATTGTAATTTGAACTTCTGAAGATGTTATACCTTCAAAATGTTTATTTTGCTTGTTTTTATTTTTACATAGGAAAAGAGAATATTATTCACATTCATTTCATAAATAAAACTTCTGTAATGTCCATTTTGAAATACAGTATTTTGCTATGTTTCTAACCCTAAACAAAAGACATAAGTGATAAAAGACATTATCTATGAGAAAGAAATCTGAGGACTCCCTAAGAAATACCTAAGTGGGCCAAGCTACTTCAGACATCATAAAAAATTGTACGGATCTTTAGTATATGGATTGTCAATAGGTAATACGTCAGTTATCCACCTCACGTCCTCAATACACAGGTCAATTTATATTATTTACAGTCTGTTCAGGCTGACAGGTAAATGCAGAATAAAAGGCTATTGGCAGGAAGCCATACCGGCAAGTCGGTATCATCATTGTCACGACCCTTTGATTACTCATTTAAAGATCTGTACTTGAAGTCAACATTCTGGCTCCAGTTGATATTAAGATATTCTAAAACATGAACTCATTTGCATGTGAAGGAAAACACATATTTAGGTTATGATTGCACCTGAAATGCTATCACAGGGACTTTTAAAAGAGAAGTTACTGTGAAATTGTGAAGTATACTGCACAGGACATTAATCTTCATTTCCTGGTTTGTTTGTTTGTTTGAGTCAGGGTTTCCCTATGTAGCCCAGGCTGGTCTTGAAGTCCTATATAGCCCACCCTAATTTCCAACTCATGGGGATCCTCCTGCCATACTCTCCCAAGTGCTGGGATCACAGGGTACGCCATTACATGTGTTTATAGTAATGAGATGGTTGATTTCCCCCACCCCAAAAGAGGCTTCAGCATTGGGACTGGCTATCGGAAAGACCCAGGGATGATTAGAGGGCTGGAACTTGTAGCTCTAGGCAACCACCTCTGTGGAGGGAAATGTCAGAGAGCTGATTATTAGTGGCCAATTATGAAGTCAATCATGACTATAAAATGATGACATTTCCATAAAATCCTAGCAAACAGTTTTTAAGGCTTCTGGACAGCTGAACACATGAAGGCTGCTGAGGGGTGCTGGCCTGGAAAGGGCATCAGAGTTCTTCATGCCCTCAGTGCACGCCTTCCGCTCACTGTTCACCTGTATCCTGTGTAACATCTTTCCTAATACAGACATGAATATCGCAAATTGCTTTCTGTGTTCTATAAGCTGATTTGGCAAATCAGTGGAACCCACGGAGGAGTCAGGGGAGCACCGATACACAGCTGTTTGTTCAAAAGCCAGATAAAATGATAGCTTGGTATCTCAAGCAGGGGCTGTCCCCCAGAGACTGAGCCCCAAACCAGGGGCATCTGACACTATTTTTAGCTAGGTAAGTCATAACTGAATTAAAGTAGAGGACACTTTGCTGGTGTGTACTGAACAATTAGCCAGGGAATGGTTGGGGGGGTGCACGTGGAAAAAAATCCATGTATTTGGTGACGCAGGATAATGTGTCCAACGTTGTGCGACAGCAGGAGTCATCTTGACCTGGTTTTGCTATCCATGCAGCTATAAGTAACAGAGCATATTTTCTCACATATAACTTCATGAATTATAAGTTTTTTTCTTCAATTACAAGTTTCTCCCCAGACACAGGATAAAATACAGATAAAACACATCAACTATTTTCTGATTTTAGCTAGACTAAGGGTCCAATATATCTTGACCAAATCACAAAGGTAATACAAGGTCACATCACTTTGAAAGTAAGTGTTTTCCTGCTGTGGACAGCAGTTTGGACTTACCCCTGTCGGTGTCGTACAGGAAGACGAAACAGTTCCATTCATAGTGGTCCAGCAGGCTCAGGAGGGCTCCTCGCAACGAAGGCCTGAGCTGCAGCACGAACTGGCTCTCCCCCTCCGTAGGGAAGCTGGGCGTGATGAGGGAGATGTGTAGGGCGCTACAGAACGAAGTCAAGGTATGCACCGACCTCTTGTCATAGAGTCCAAAGATGGCGAATACTCCTCTAGAGTACTGGGAGCAGACTGCGACACAAGAAGAAAACATCAGCTGTTAGCATGCTTCAGAATTCTCAACTCTGGGATCTTTATCCCATGAAATAAACAAACAAACAAACAAACAAACAAACCTGAGTCACTTATGTAAGCAAAGTAAGACAAAAAGTTAAATATACAGTTAATAATACCAACACAATAAATGTTTGAGATTGTACTCAAAGCCATGCATTGACCGAAACATCAAATTAACAAAACATTTTCAATTAAGTGGAAATTAGACTAAAATTAAGTAATATATAGACTTCCATGTAATGTAGGAAATCCTACACCAGAGACTTTTATGTGTGATATATCTAAGTTTTATCTGTTTATCTTCCTATCTACCAAAAATATGATGTACTTTTGAATTTTTCAGTGTTAAGTGAAGAAACATATTTTAACTCACTATTAACTATTGAAAATCAATAGCAATTATATAACAAATTAAAATTGTAGACAAATATTAAAATATGAAAGATATAAGATGTAAACAGAGTTAATTTTAGAAAAATATTTCTGAAATTAATACACAGCATGAGAGTAATAGATTGTACATTGTAAAGAAATTATTTACAAACTTAAATTAATATAACAACAAAAATTGTCTAAAATAAACATGAAGAAGAAAAAGTTTACAAATCAGTTATATAATAGGTCACTCTGCGCCAAAATCAAGAAACTTATATTCATTTAATTAGAATTCTCAAAGTAGAAAGGGGTAGGTAATAAATATTTAAAGATGTAAAATTTCTGAATTTACTTAAAATTATAGCATATTTCCAAAAAAAATGAGTCCTTTGCACAAGCAATGTGAATAAAATCATACCAAGATACACAAAAATGAAATTGTCCAAAACTAATTGAAAAGAAAAAAGAATCATTAAAGCATATATATAGACAAATATTAGCTATGGAAGAACAAAATAAGATAGCATCTTATTCCATGTTAGAAAAAGAAAAAAAAAGAGCAAGTGGGTGAGAAACTAGATTTATTTATTTTAAAGACTGAAAAAAAAGGTCTATCCTCATTGAATTTTATACTTAGCAAACATACCTTTGAAAGCTAAAAGTAAAATATTTTCAGTTATACAAACTCAAACTATTCTAATACCTCCAGATGAAGCATATAGAAAATAACAAAGACCATAATCCAGAACACAAGAGAAGTTGTTGTATGGTCCTAGATAAACAATAAAGAGCTCTCAAAATGGTAGTTATGCAGGACTATGTAAAATATAATTGTATCAGATGAACCCATTTAAAAGGTCATTGAAGGGGTCAGGGAGATGGCTCAGTGGAATAAGTGCTTTCCTGGCAAGAGCAAGGGCCTGAGTTCAAGCCCTGGTTCTGCCAAAAGAAAAAAAAAATAAATAAAAATAAAAAAAAATAAAAGGTCATTGAAGATTTCCACAAAATAGTATCAATCTTACATCAGGTTATATACATATTTTTTCACATTGTGTGTGTGTGTGTGTGTGTGTGTGTGTAAAAGACAAAGAAAAATTAATATAAAGTCAATGGAAAATAGAAATATGCTTTTTAAGTTTCTTTTTTTCTTTAAAAAATTTTTATTAATTTTATTGAGAAACAAATAGTAATGAGACAGTTTCAAAACAGGTTAGTAGGACAGTTTCAATAACTAATACATTGCATATTGTTGTCTTCGTATTCATAGTACAAAATACGGACATGATATCCTATCCAAACACTATTAGTACAAAATAGGATAGATATACAGCTGCTTTCTCTTAATTCAATATAAAGTTTCTAATACTAGGAGAAAATATCATACCATGTCTTATAAGGAGGTTATAAGTCAAAGAAACAGTATAAATCATAAAACAAAAATTAAAATTAAACAATGTTCAGAAAATTAATTAAATATTAATTCAAAATTAAATTAAATATTTCAAAATAATATTCAAAAATTAAAATTGTGAGTCCAACTAAGAGGCCAGAATGTAGTGTATCATATGTACCAATCTGTGATCAATTCAGAGTACTCAGTATCTGATTAGGTTAATACATACAAAAATATCAACTAATAAAAAGTTTTCATGATAATAAAGAATTACTAAGAATAAAATATAACAAAAATATCGGAATGGCAAATATATGACCAGTACTTCCAACAACTTGGGGATAGGATATTGCACAAAGTTCTAGTAAGTGGTGGACATGGATAATGTCCATGAAGTTTACTGGTAGCCAGGTGTCACTTGTGGGACTGAGCTACTGCTATTTCTCTGATATCCACCCTGTAGACCCGGGCAGAATCATGAACAATAGGGTGCAGGAGAAGTCCATTTGTAGAGTACGCAGATGGAAATATTTTGCTGCTGTATACAAAAGAATGATTGAAAAACTGCTGTTGTATACCTCTTTTTCTCCTGTGTTTGTTTGCCCTACTTGGTGGATTATTTCCATTCTCATTCATGGAGTTGTGGTCATTTTGATCCCTCTCTAGAATATGTCTTAGTAGTCTGTGTACGGTTGGCTTTGTTGCCGTGAAATTCTTTATTTGTTCTTTGTCATGGAAGTATTTCGCTTCTCCATTAAACTTGAAAGAGAGTTTGGCAGGATACATCAGTCTGGGTTGGAATTTGTTTTCTTGCAATACTTCAAGTACTTTGCTCCATGCTTGATTAGATGGTTTGTGAAGAGAAATCTGCCATTATCCTAATAGGTTTTCCTTTAAATGTGATCTGCTTCTTTTCTTTAGCAGCTTTTAGTATACTGTTCCTGCACTGAATTCCTTGGATCTTGATTATTATTATATATCTGGGTGTGGTTATAATTGGGTTGATGTTATTTGGAGTTCTATATGCTTTGGTTATCTGAATGTCAGATTGTTTCCCAATGTTTGGAAGTTTTCTGCTATTACTTCTGCCCATGTTCTTTTTATATCATTTGTATTGACTCCTTCTTTCTCATTGATGCCTTTTAGTCTTACGTTGTTCATCTTTGCATCATCGTGCAGATGTTGAATTATTTTTTCCTGCATCCTAGTTGTTTTTAAGAGATCTTTCCTTACCTTTTCACTAGCTATAATGTCTTCAAGGTGTGAGAATCTATTTTCACTTTCAGTCAAATGGTTTTGCCGCTTGTGATTGAGATTTTAATTTCCTGTATATCACTTTAGATCTGCTTCATGAATTCTATTTCTTGCCTATATTGCTAATTCAAGGATTCCATCATTTTTATATTCTCTTCTATTTGTATCAGTGTCTTCTTTAAAAGCAGTTAGCACTCCTTTCATTATAGTTATCATTTCTTTTTCTACTTCAGAAATTATTTCTGATCTGATTTTTTCTATAGCTTTCTGAAGTTTCTTTACTTCAGATGCTATTATTTCAGAGATTTCATGTGTGTGCTTTCCAATTTCCTGTATACTATTGTCGCCTGCATTTGTTCT